CCAACAGGGGCCCTCCTAGCTGCCTGTCTCTACTCTCACTCCCCCGGGCCCCAGGGAGGGGGCTCAGTGGGAGCTGGCACCGGAGGGGAGGGGGCTAAGGCAAGTGCTTCCCCCCAGGATCAGCTACAGGCTGCCCCTCCCCCCAGAGAACAGGACACCCAGGGACCGGGGGGTGGGAGGAGCTGGGGGGGGGAGCGCGGACCTTTGCCGGGGCTGGTTTCCCCCCGCTCCTCCTTCCCCCTCCCCCCGTCCCCAGGGGCGGCTGCTGCCAGGCTGGGGGGGGCTGCCCCGGGCTCCCTAGGCCTCTCTCACTCTCTCCTCAGGATCAGGGCGGCCATATTGGATCCGTCAGCTTCTCTCGTCTGAGGGAGGCGGCCGCTGCTGCTAGAGCAGGAGCAACATCCGGGAAACCGCGGCAGCTCCTCCTGGGTGGGAGGGGGAGGAAGAGGTAATGGTGTAACCTACATCCGGTGTCCCTCTCTCTTCCTTCACCGCCATAGGAAAGAATGGGGGAAGGGCCGCCATCTTTGTGGAGGGCAGGCTGGCGGCTCCATCCGGGATATTTCTTGGGTGGCTTCAAAACTATCGGGAAGTATGGGGAGGCGGCCGCCATGTTGGTAGAGGGCAGACGGGCAGGCACAGCCGGGTTCTGACTTCACAGCTACTGAAGAGAAGGGTCGAGTGCCACCATCTTTGTGGAGGGCATACGAGCACGTGGGAAATTCGAGTCCTCTGTTGAAGCAACTGCGTGTAGGACCGAGCTGATGAGTGTGGGGGAGGGTTGTGTGTTTATTAAACAGGCTGTAGTACAGAACACCAGTAAAAACTGGACACAAAAACCAGGTTCAAAAATATGCCAGTAATTATTTCAGTGCAGTGGTTTCCCTGATGGAGGTTTATCCCCCTTGCTATTTAAAATGCCCATGTTACCATTAGGAATACTCTTATTAATTGCCTTTTGCAAAGAGGGTTGGGGGTGATTTGATAGGTGATCTGAGTTCTGCTCTTAGGTCAGCGACTGGTCTTGGTCATGTCACTTACTCTATACCTCAGTGTCCCCAGGGGATAATTACTAGTACAATTATTTATTTGTATTGTGAGTGGCTGGAGTCCCCAAGCAGGGATAAGGGTCCTAGTACACTGACCTCAGAGTTACATGAATACAGACAAGACAAGATGATCCCTGCTTTAAAGAACTGGCAATCTATTTCCCTGATCTTGCAAAGACATGATCTTAAGCTATATAATTTAATTAAGCTGTACAAACATTAGGCATTATTATCATTAGGTACTGAAAGCAGTCCTGCTAATCAGGCAAACATAAACCATCCCTTACAGGTTGGAAAAACCCCTGTTGAGGAAGATCTAATTTTCTAGGTCCTGGTTCAGTGCAGTGAGCTGGACTTGAGGGCTTGGTGAGGACTCTTCCCAGCAGTATAGGTCTATGTTCTACAGCTAAGCACATGGCTAAGTCTGTAGGCTCATGTCCCAGAGGTAAATGATAAATAATACTTACATTGATTTTCTTTTGAAAGCACTTTGAGATCTACATTTGAGAAGTGCTAGAGAAGAGCTAAGAATTACTATGTGGATTCACATGCATTTTTAAAATGCATATGTAAATATTGCTATGGTCAAACATTTGTTGCTTACTATGCTTCTTTGGTCATTGATCCTGCAACACAGACTCAGCTGCATATATATGGCTCCATCTGGGCCTAAATCTGTACTAGTCAGTTCGAGCAGGATCTAGGAGCCAAACTGTCATTCATCTGCTGTGAGAATGTGCCATCTCCTCAGAAGTAAGAAAGGGAAAAGCAGAAGAAAATGTAACCAGGGTTAGTACATACCAATTGGAAAGGGAGAAGAAGCAGCAGGCAGCAACCTGGTGGCAAATCACCATTTTAAGGCTGCTAATGCATAGCTTTGTCTAATTTAAAGGGCTACCCCCACCCCAAAAAGCATGCTGGGAAGGGGGAAGTTCCTCTGGTTTTTAGGGATGAGGAAGCTACAAAGAAAGGTGCTTAGGACCTATTTCTGTGGGTTATGTGTTATATTGTACTAGAAGATTCACCGGCATTGCTTGGTTCCTTAACACAGTTAATTTTGGGCAGTTTGGAAAATAAAATGAAAATGTACATGCTTCATTTAAATCATTGCTCTGGGGTGGGGCTGAAGATGAGGGCTTCAGTATGCAAGCTGCCCCAGGGAGAAAGAACCCCAACCCCCTCTCACCACAGTAGCTTGGGGCCAGGTGGAAAGTGCCGTTTCATGGCTGCCACAAGTCCAGTGAGCACAGCTGGGGTAGGGTGCATGGCCCCCAGCTGTGACAGATACAGGTTAGGTTGGGTGAGGGCCACAGAAGGACCACCTGTTCCCCGGCAGCTCTGATTTGAATGCCATGACTGAGAGGGAGGCAGCCCCAGCATGGAGCTACCATGGTCAGGAGAAAGTCACAGCCCCCCACCAGCCCAGAACAAATCTGCTGTGACAGCTCTAACTTGGGGCTGGCAGGCAGAGGTGGCCCTCTGTGCACCTGCCCTGACCTCTCTTTCAACATTCGCTCAGTTATGTCAGTTTTGAGGACTGTACTTGATTTGGTGATTTTTTTCCTTTTTGTTTGGTTTTATGAGAAGTTATCTGCTGCAGCTCCAGCGGGCACAGCTGGGGGACAGGTGCATGTCTCCCAACTGGAGCAGGTCCAGATTTGTCTGTCCCCTGTGCTCCCCAGCCAGAGTGAGAATGCAGCAAACTATGCACTTTCCCCTCGCTCCCTGATAAAGGGGAACAGCCAGCAATGTTCTCATATGAATGGCGGGGGAAAGCTTCTGCCCACCTCACCCTTCCCAGTTTGGGAGTGGAAGGCTTGGGGTTGGAGCAATCCTGGAGGGAGGTGGGGTGCGATCCTAGCCAGCCCCTTTCAGCTGCCTGGTGATTCTGTCTCTTTTCTGTATAGTTTTATAAGAAGTAATCCCATTCCAGGCACATCCCAATTTCCTGGCACAACCAAACACTGACCTTGCTTTAAGTTAGAATAAAAAGAAGCTGCATACTGAATTTGTCCAAGAGCTGAAATTAGAATGTTTCTGTCCAGCCTGAAAAATCTGAAAATTATTAAGAGCCTAATGTGCAGAAGATACAGCAAAGAGGTGGACAGCAGTGAATAGTGTCTGTGTTATCCTCTGCTTATCACCCACCTAGGCTAGGAGGTGAACTCTGCAAATGCACCTCTGAACTCTGGATCTGTATTGACCAAGGGCAGCAACTGTGAGTGGGGTGCAGAGATAGGTAGGGCATGTGAAGGGGACTTTTGGGTTGCTGGACTTGAGAACTTGAGGGGAAAGTACACTGCCCCCTACCTACTTGGGCTCTTTTACTCTGAGATGTATGAAGAGTGTCATATTTAAGACAGAGGCTGTTTCTAGACTGGCAAGCTGTTACACTGGCCGCTTGAATTTCCGCAAGAACACTGACTTCCTACTGTCTGAAATCAGTGCTTCTTGCGGAAAAACTATGCTGCTTTCGTTCGCGAAAATGGCGATTGGGGCTTTTTTGCGCAAAAGCGCGTCTAGATTGGCCACGGACACTTTTCCGCAAAAAGTGCTTTTGCGGAAAAGCGTCCATGCCAATCTAGACGCTCTTTTCCGAAATGCTTTTAACGGAAAACTTTTCCGTTAAAAGCATTTCCGGAAAATCATGCCAGTCTAGACGTAGCCCAGATGTGGCTTTGCCAGTGCCGAATAAAGGGGAATAATCACTTCTCTAGATCTGCTGGCAATG